GTCCAAATAATAATGAAAAAAATTAATAAGATTAATTACGAAAAACAATGTCTCACAATCGTTTACAAATTATCATAAAATAATATTCATATGTTATAATTAAATTCCTAATAAAAAATGTTAAGGGTCACTTATCGGAATAAAAACTATCCTATCTCTCAAGTTGGATGCAACTGCACACAGTGTGCAAAATTTCATTGAAATCAGTTCAGTAGTTTAAAGAGTTCATCGCAGACAAACAATGTGACCCGTAATTTTTATATATAAAGATGAAATGATGAGAAAATGGTGAAGTGAAGGAGGTCCTTGATGAAGACCAAAAGCCCCACATGGTCGTTGTTGTCCGCGGTTCCTACTCTTACACTGATGACGACGGCAAAGTTGAGACCATCAACTACAGCGCTGATGACAAAGGCTACCATGCTGATGGCGACTCAGTACCCACGAACGCCCCGTCCAGGAGATAAGCTTGCAATAACTTCATTACAATGAGTAATCAATTATACAACAACATCTAATAAACGATTATTCATGAAACTCGGTTAGGGACGATTATGTTTCCCATAAAGTTAGATGTAGGGAGAAGCGTCTGTCTCATATCTTTCTTGTTATTCGTTTTAACTGATGCACACTGCCATATTTTTACGTTGTTATATTGTTGAGTTAATATGCAAACCGTATAGTAAATAAACTAACTTAATGCAATTTCTTTGCTTTTTTTTTAAAGATTTATTAAATATTCAACTATATATATATATATATATATATATATATATATATATATATATATATATATATATATATATATATATATATTTTCCGACTTGGTGAACAAAATAAAAAATTTAATTCGGACTGGTAATTCCAAACATTCGCGTGTTTATATAAACAAAAAAAAAAAAAACAAAGAGAAAAACGATTCCGCTTTATTATTATAGTACAGATTAATTCCCGATATTTCGGTAGCTTTCCAGCACCCAAAGTCATGCGTGATTGAGAATTAAAAATATGAACAATTAAACGCGATAAAATTCATAAAAGTAGTTTTGTTCAATGTGTAGTGTTCGCGTAAATATAAAAAATCATTATAGTATAGATTAATTAAAATAAAATGATGTATTTTTCCTTTAAATTGTTATCGGCTTAACCGTTTTGGTGTGCCGTTTATTTTATTTTATGAAATAGAAGAAGGGGTTAACCGACAGTTTAAGAGTAGAATTGCCTCAATCACTAGTATGCAGCACTGGAAATCGTGAGTAAGCATCACACGAAGCCATTTACGTGAAGCCTACTCTGAGTTCGGAAGATGACTACTACACACCCGCCGCGCCGGCGCAGCGTCTAAGCCTACGCATCTCACGAAACCGGTCTAGTTTAACAAATATAGATTTCAAGCTTGTCAAACTCGAACATAATTATATTTAAAACCTTGTATCTATGTTTAAATGTTCTACCATTTTAATTTATTACTTTTATCTTTTTTTTTTGTTTAGTTTCTTTATTAATCTGCAAGAGGTAGGAGTCAGTGTGTCAATGCAATCACTTGTACGGCATTTCTTGCTTATGTATTTTTATCATTATATTAATGGACAATTAACAATGAAGAACAGTGATTATAACGCACTCAACAGAAACGGTTGTTTAAATAACCTTCCGATTATCTTCTCTATCAGCATTATAGATCAGGGAAAAACTTTCTTCGTATTTTTATATTTGTACATTATATTCAGAAGTTTTAGTACACAAAAGAGAAAAATGAGACTCAAGCCGAGAAAAACATTTTAAACATTTATGTTTGGATTAATCCCAGCCGCCAAATTCTACTTCTTTTTTAAAGGCCGGCAACGTATCTGCAATTCCCCTGGTGTTGCTGTTGTTCATTGGCGGCGGTATTCACTTACCATCAGGTGAGCCGCATGCTCGTTTGCTCGCCCCTCTCCTATAAAAAAAAAATTTTTGATCTGGAATAGATTTTATAGTTCGACATTAATTGACCATTCAGTGATTAAACGATTATACTCAATCACGTTGTTTTTATGTCAATCATACGATCTGAATCACATTTGCAAAGTGGGAAATGGTAAATGGGTAATCAGTTTGAAATTGCATATAAGTATTAAGTAGTTAAATTATCTGTTATTTTTAAAACTTAAGGCTGTACTAATGTTGCGTGTAAAATACTGTTGCTAATTGGACCTGTCCTACTTATTGTCAACTTACTGACAACATTTGGTGATAAGCATAACATGACATTTTTATGCGATACTTTAAAATTAATTTAAGCTACACAATCTCGAACACAAGTACGGTATCGCCATTCTGTCAATGTTCTACAGGTGAATTAAGTAATGGAGCATTAGAGGGATATGAATGTTTAAATTACCAAAGAAATTTCAAATTAGACAATATTTTGGTTTCCGATAGCTACTAGTGGAACATAACGGTAGAAGAGAAAACAGCGTAAGAAGTCTGCTACAGCCTGGGTTACAATAATCTCTTGCCGATTTAGTCCTTAATAGGCTGCTATTTCTAAAATAGAGATTAAAATGTATTAAAACTGTCTACAGACTACTTTTTCTTCTTTTTATCTTTATAACGTAAAAGTTTTACGGCTTCGTGGCGCAGTGGTTTAGCAATGAGTTGCAGCGCTAAGGGCCGCGAGTTCGAATCCCGCACGGAACAAGAATTAGTTTGGCCTAAAAATAATTATTTAGGGGCCTTAATGTTTGTACTTCTGAAATTTATGTATATGAACTGTAACTGCCCTCTGTAACATGAGAAAATTCTAGTGTCGACGTAACGCTTTTAAAAAACAATAACAATATCATCAATATAATCACTCACGGCTTAAGATGCCGATTAAATGATAGTAGAGCTTTTATTATTTTAATATGGTATAGTTACGTTTAAATACAAAAAAATACAAAGACAAAGACAAGCACACTGCAGGCCAATTTAGGGAGGTTTGTTTTAATTCTGAGTATTTTACGATACGTATAGACACCTACAACAAAGACTCTTAACGATGAAATATACTTTTTTTTTGCAGTAAAAATAAAGCCTTAGTATTGTAAAAATCATTAATATCTGAATGTGTTTCTAGTTCATCTGGTTTATTGTTTTGAATTGTAATTTAAAAGTAGGTCGATGTGATGATTTCTTATGTTGAAGTAAACATTAAACATTTAAATAAAACAAGTTTATACGGATTTTATCGCGTATATTAGCTTATTTTATAGTGCTAAGGTTTCGAGTACTTTTCAGCACCTTCAGTTTATTATTATTACTATTTTAGGTTACCGTGGTTGACTATGGCATTGAGACGTCGAACAACTCAGTTTCCCCTAGGACTATGGGTACTGTAAAGTGCTCGAAACGTCGGGAATATAAAGTAAGGTAATATGCGCGATAAAATCCGTAATACCTAGTTTTATTTAAAATAGGTCGATGTAAATTTAAAAAAAACATATAGACACTTATTCGCCTTTTTCGCTAGGCACCCTGAATTCTGTAAAGAGACTGTTACTTTTTTATGAAAATATTTTATTACTAAAAGGTACAACGAAACAATTTGAAGGTATCTGTTTAAATTGTTTTTTTTCCAAGCCGCGGGCAAACGACAATTTGAATAAATTTTTAGTAAGATGTACACGTTCAGTCCCTTCGTATTTAACTTTCATTTTTATTTCCCAGTTAGATATTTTTTGTTATTTCTCAAATTTTTAATGACATGATTTGAAATGACATGGTTATTAGTCAAATGTCATTTCTTTCAAATGATATTTTTATTTATTCCGAGCTTGCTTGTATAGTTCTGAACTCGTGAATGCGTTTAATTGTGGATTTCTTTGGCAATTTGGTTTTTGTTTGGACTTTGGATCAGTTACTACTTGTTTGACTCTGCTTTTGTTTTATGGACTTAATGATTTACGTGAGATTTTGATTTCGTTGATATCGGACATCTGTATTCCCTAGAATCACATTTTGAATCAGTAAGCAGGTATGTACTAAAGAAAGATGTTTCCTTAAGCCATTAAATCTGTAGTCTGTTAATAATTATTAATTTCTACATAAGTTCATAATGGCTGCAAAATCTTAATATGATGTAATTATCTTTCAGTTCACCTGTTAAAACATGTTGCACTGTTTAAAATGCGCTTCTGCAATATAGATATTTTATTAAAATAAGATGGATGAAAATGCACCAATATGTTCACAATGTTTTGCAAACGTATTACAAGAATTATCTGTCGGCACAAATCTTGAAAATGAGCTCCAGCGCCCTAATGACAATACTATCAGTATATTGTATGTTTGGTGTCAATGAAGACTGGGTAGCAGATAAGTTGTGACCCAATTAATATCATCCCAACAAGACTTTGTTTTAATAAGAGGTCGTATAAACTCTCGCCATCACTCTGGCAGAGTATTACACATATATGCTGTTGGCGAGACAAGGGACCAGTTGGGATGAGATGATTGCAGGTTATTATTGCAGTTGCACTTCTGGACAACAGACAGTAGGTTACTGTGCCTACATAATGACCGTTGTCTTGTATATGTATTGGGCTCGGTATCAAAATTCCATAACCGCACCGGCCTCAATTCCGGATGGCATTTTAATACGAGAAAATTTTGAAGTAGGATAAATAAATAAAAAATAAAAAAAAGTTAGCAGTTTTATTCATATTACCTTAAGTATCCAAAACATGATTGACCTAATGTTTCACTTACTATAATTCATAGGACTGTTAATCTTTGTTATGACATTATCCAGGCTTTAAATGTCTGTCAATGCTCAAGGCATACTCTGACACGCTGAAGACCTGTTATATAAAAATATTTGTACGCCGGAAACGGCAGAATATTTAGGATGCGAATTCTTTTGTAACAACTGTAATGTACCATATTATAACTTACTTACTTACTTATCTTCACGCACAATCCCTGACGGGGTAGCCAGAGAGAACAGATCGCCAAGTGTCACGATCCTTACATACCTCTTTCGCTTCTTTCAGATTCATTATCTTCTTCATACATGCACGTCTAGGTATCCGAGTACTCTTGACCCTACCCTCTTCGAGCAATTTGCTCACATGGTCTTCGAAAGTTAGTCTCGGTCTACCTCGACATCTTTTAATATTAACTTTCGCGCTATATATTTTCTTCACCATTCGGTCTTCACTCATTCGCTCAACGTGCCCAAACCACCGAAGCACGCCCTTATCAATTTTTGTCACAAGGTCATCTTTCAAACCTGCCATATTGCGAATCTCTTCGTTTCGCTTTCGGTCGGCTAAGGTAACGCCGCACATTTTACGAAGAGATCGCATCTCCACTGCATTCAACTTGCTATTATGCTTCTTCTGGCATACCCAGGTTTCGCTGCCATATAACAAAGTCTGTACCAACACTGCGTTATCTATTGCAAGGCGTGCACTCTTCACTATGCCTTGCCTTTTGAATAACGCAGTCAGGGCACCATTGACTTTGTTCCCGGCAGCGACACGCCTGTCCAGATCTAAATCACATCTTCCATCCCGGCTAAAAGCACTCCCCAAGTATACAATTTCATTTACTTGTTCTAGACATTCCTGATTTACCCATATTTCACACTTCGTTCTCTCTTCGTCCCTTTCAAATACCAGAACCTTAGTTTTATTAGCGTTCAAACGGAGACCTTTAATTTCACATTCCTCTTTCATACACGTGACTAATGCCTGCAGTTCTGCCTCTGATGGTGCAATAAGGACTGCATCATCAGCATACAGCAGACAATTTACTTTTATGTCACCCAATTTCACACCCAAACAGCTATCTTTCAGCTTTTGTAAACAGCTGTCGAGATACAGTATGAACAGCCAGGAAGACATGACACAACCCTGTTTTACGCCCGTTTGGACACTAAACATGGGTGACAGGTCATGCCCTACCCGCACACAGGCTTTACAGTCACAGTAAAGAGACTGCACAGCCCTTAGCAATCGACCATCCACACCATACCCCGGCAACAGTTCCCACATTTTCTTCCTTACAACCTTATCAAATGCTTTCTCAAGATCCACAAAAGCACAGAAAATCTTCTGGTTAGCAGCCAGAAGCTTTTCCGTGATCATGCGGAGAGAAAACATTTGATCCGTGCATCCTCTTCCAGGTCTAAATCCGCATTGTGCCTCCCATAGAAATCTTTCCGATTTCTCTTGCATCCTACGTGTCAAAACCTTCGAGTAAACTTTACTTGCTAAACTGGTCAAGCTGATCGCCCGATAGCACTCGCAGTCAAAATATGAACCTTTACCTTTATATAAAGGCACAATGACTGCGGATCGCCAATCATCCGGGACATCCCCCGTCCGCCAGCACAAATTGCACAGCAGATGAAAGCTGTCCCAGACGCGAGGCCCACCATACTTGACCATTTCAGCAGTAACTCTGTCTAGTCCCGCAGCCTTACCACATTTCAAACTTCGAATCGCACGTTCAATCTCTTTCATACTGATGACCTCAGTGTCATCGAGGTCCGGGTCTGGCGTACCAGATACGGCGTCATCCCCGGATCCCCCACTAACGCATACATTTCTCTATAAAATTCGCTCCATCGCTGCATGACGTCCGATTTTTCTGAGAGGACGTCATTAGTTCTCGAAAGCACTTTGTTCATTCTTAAGGCCGTCGCACCACTTCGGGTCCTTCCAACCTCTTTCCAGAAGAGTTTGGAGTTCTCCTTAAAGTTGTGCGACAACCTTTCGTCCGCTTCCAATCTACACCTTTCACGCACTTTCTCAATCAATGCTTTCGTGTGAACTTTCTGCAGCCTATATCTTTCTTTCATCTTCTCCCTCATATCCTTATCATTACTAGAGGCCAAGTAGTCTAACCATGCTTTCTTCTTCTTCTTTACAGCTTCTTTCACTTCATCATTCCACCATGCATCTCTTCTTTTACTACTGCCTCTTTTTATTGTTCCACACACTTCTTCCGCTGCACTTACCATTCCATCCCTAAGGTTCTGCCATGTTCTTTCTACACATTCGTTTCTGCCATCGATAGTGTCAAGCTTTTCGGCTACCCTCGCATGATATTTGTCCCCAGTATCCGCTTCCTGAAGCTTCCAGCTTCGGATGTGACAGACCGACTGTGGTTCTGTCACTGCCGTCCGGTAGCGCCAACCCGCGAACATATTATAACAAATAAATTATATTATCTATGATTGTACCCTAGCACCTCAGCAGCCCAGATAGAGACATATACCTGAACAGAAATTAGTATTCAGGATTATTCTGTTTATCTACCTTAAAACTGCCACTCTAAGGTCATCATTACAGCCCTTCACAAGTCCACTGCTGAACATAGGCCTCCCCCAAAGAATGCCACAAAGCACGGTCCTGAGCCACCTGCATCCATCGACTTCCTGCATGTCTTACGAGGTCGTCACTCCATCTCGTGGGGGAACGCCCTACACTTCGCCTACCGGTACGAGGCTGCCACTCGAGAACCTTTCTTCCCCATCGGTTGTCGGTTCTTCGAGCTATATGGCCGGCCCATTGCCACTTCAGCTTACTAATCCGTTGGGCTATGTCGGTTACTCTGGTTCTACTGCGGATATCCTCATTCCTAAGTTTATCACGCGGAGAAACTCCGAGCATAGCCCTATCTATAGCTCGCTGAGCGACCTTGAGCTTCCTCATCCGGCCAGCAGTGAAGGACCACGTCTCAGTTCCGTATGTCATCACTGGCAACACGCACTGGGTGTACAGTCTCGTTTACAAGGTTTGAGGTATACCTGACGAGAAGATGTGCCGTAATTTCCCGAACGCTGCCCAACCAAGTTGAATCCGTCGATTGACCTCTCGGTCGAAGTTGGACTTACCTAGTCGGACTATTTGTCCCAGGTAAACATACTCGTCAACAACTTCGAGCTTAGTGTTCCCAACAACTACCGGCATAGGTGTGACATGGACATTAAACATGATCTTAGTTTTGTCCATGTTCATCTTAAGACCTATCTGTTGGGAAACACTATTGAGGTCATTGAGCATAGTGCTTAGGTCCTTCAGCGATTCTGCCATAAGGACTATATCGTCGGCAAATCGAAGGTGAGTGATGTACTCGCCATTGATGTTGATACCATATCCTTTCCAGTCCAGAAGCTTGAAAACGTCTTCCAATGCAGCGGTGAAGAGTTTCGTGGATATGACGTCACCCTGTCTGCAATTGGATAGGTTTCGTACTCTGTTTCTGTACTCGGATAGCCATCGTAGCCCTACTGTACAAGCACTTCAACACTTCGATATACCGACAGTCAACTTGGCACCGCTGAAGGGACTGCAGTACCGCCCAAATTTCGACGGAATCAAAGGCTTTCTCATAGTCCACATACGCCAGACATAGTGGCAAATTGTACTCTTCGGACTTATGTACAATTTGCCGAAGGGTATGTATGCGGTCTATGGTGCTAAAGCCCTTTCGGAAACCGGCTTGTTCGGGAGGCTGGAAGTCGTCAAGTCTGCGCGCGAGACGATTCGTAATGACTCTCGAAAATAGCACGTAGACGCGGCTCAAAAGGGAAATCGGTCTGTAGTTCTTCAAGAGAGCGTTGTCACCTTTCTTGAAAAACAAGACCACCGCACTTCTGCTCCACGCCTCCGGTGTAATGCCACCATGGAGGACGGAATTAAAGAGCTTCTGAAGGACTTCAAGTACCGGTTTTCCACCCGCTTTCAGAAGCTCCGCTGTAATTCCATCCTAGCCTGGGGCCTTACCGTTTTTAAGGTGCTGGAGAGCCATTCTAATCTCGCTCAGACTTACGTCCACTCTAAGGTAAAATAAGCTAAATATATTCTTTATTATTAGTGTAGTAAGGTAGTATCTCAGGGTAGATTTTTTAGGGTAGAGTAAAACATAAAAGTCCTGCATGCCCCTGGCATTGAAGTGTGCATTAGTACACACTAATGAATGCAATGAAATAATTTTGTGCGTAGGCACCATTGATTTATCTCAACAATCTTCTTGTCTGGAATTAGGTAGTACTTTTTACATTTGTTTTCTCCTGAACTGCTTTTATGATATGCAAATATCAACAGGAACGTTTGTTGTTTTAAGACCAAAAAAGCACATACACAATCTATAATACACTTTATTCGTGTTTTGATCAAAAAATACAACTTAACTATTTTACATAATAAATCAACCTGATAGGCTATAGGCAAAGAAAATATACACCTATAGGTGATATAAGTATATTTCAGAGATGACAGCTAACGTCAAATAACGACATAAACCCGCCATTAGTGTTGCATTTTTGGTGAGAATAAAATATTAATACCACTGAAATTAAGGCAAATTCCTGAATTTGGATGATGAAAAGTGGTTTAATATATTATTTTCATTTATTTCCATACTAGTACAAAACTAGGCCTACGCTTCATACAATTATAGACCGTCTCCTTTGGGATTTCGTTACAAATGGCAGGTGCCATGCTCATAGCACTTTTTTTTAGTAAAGCTGTATGAAATCTTCCTGTATACAGTAAATCTTTATATTGCGTTCTCATAGATACGGTTCGTACTCGAGTTTCATTTAAGGTAGGAAATAAATGATGATTAATTTTAACAAATAACGCTATTACTAAAATATTCGGACACGGAAAATTTAATAATTTATGGAATTTGAAGATAGGGACACAACTATCTTTAATCTTTAAATTGAAGATTGCTTTTATGCAGGGCTTTTGGGCTTTGAAAATGCTTACACTATCGCCACAATTGCCCCAAAATATAATACCATATCTTAAAATGAAAACTACCAGGTCATGGTAAGCTACTAGTACCGTTATGACACTGACTTTTTTATCAGGTCATAGAGTGCATGTATGCAGAAACACTTAGTCTCTTAATGACACCATCTGTTTGGGCCTTCCATGTCAATTGGCTGTGTATTGAAATACCTAAAAAATTTGCTATATCTACTCTTTCAATTATTTGACAATTGTAATTTATATTTAGATCTTCAGTACGTAGTTCCTGGTAAAAGTACTTTATTATAGTTTTTTCAGTAAATTATTATAATTCAGCCAGTTAATTATAGTTTTAGTCGAAAAAAAAGAATCTTTATTTAGTCATTTTATTAGAACTGTACTGTCTTCGGCAAATAATACCACATGATAGATTTGACGTGGGAGGTTGTTTATATAAAGTAAAAATAACAGTGGGCCAAGGACACTCTGTTGTGGTACGCCGAATCTTATTTCTCTATAGAAAGAAACATATTTGCATTCACCATATTCTAGCAATTTCTTTACATTGTTTGCGGCCTATCAGATATGATTTTATTAGGTTAAAAATGTTATCTTGAATGCCGTATACGTTAAGTTTCTGTAATAGTATGTCATGGTTCACATAATCGAAGGCTTTCGACATGTCTGTATATAGCACATATGGGAGTTCTGGTATCTACACTAGCCATTACTCTTTTTAATAAGTCGTAGCCATATTTATGTTTTTGTTTTTCAAAAATGTGTACATGGATTCGTAAATAACTTTTTCCATTATTTTAGAAAAAACAGGAAGCAAAGCAATCGGTCGGTAGTTAGATATGTCTTCTTTATTGTTTTTTTTTATAAAGTGGTTTTACTATAAACTTTTTCAGCCTTTTGGGAAACATTCCCGCTAATATGCTTACATTAATAATTTGACGTGGTACAGCCATGCTACAGCTATTTTAGTAGTATAGTTGTAGCACGAATGGGTCGGCTCGACCGGGGAAAAACCAAGCTCTCACAGAATAGCAGCTTAACAC